AAGTCCAAGCAGTCACGTATTCATCACGGCTTGGACTTGTGGGCGCAGCATTTTCAAATTGCTCTGTTAAGCGCTAGTATACACAGAGACGAAATGATAGACACAAAGCGCTCTGTTTCATCTTCTCCGCTGTTCTTTGTGCATACAGACGTGCTTGATAAGCCATTTAAGTGCGGGATTACCCGTTTTATAATTAAATCTTGCAGTAGAATTGAAAGAAGGGCAAGTTGGAACTTATTCATCGTTGGGTAGCGCACAAAGTGCGTTAGCCAACCACCAGTTACGTCATCAGAACAAGAAATCTGTGTCATCGGTTGATTGATTGATTTGTGGGGTTTAACGTCCCAAAACCACCATATGATTATGAGAGACGCCGTAGTGGAGGGCTCCGGAAATTTTGACCACCCGGGGTTCTTTAACGTGCACCCAGATGTAATATGTGTCATCGATTCGGTGTAATTTTGTGTGACACATGGTTTTCTGCATATATATGCACGCATTCTTTCAAATAAACTTTCAGTTATTAGGCAAGCGCCTGTCTTGTTCTCTTCGTTCGTGTTTTCAATTTGTGCGCTACCCAATGATGAGTTAGGTTTTACCCGAGGCCTATTTAGGGTTACGAACTCCGTATTTTCAGGCCGTCTGTGTATTAACCCTTTGCATCCCAGTGTCAACATTACTCCATACATAGCACAGAGTAATGCCCAAATTTCAAATCTATTTGAATAGAAGGCATTGACTATAGCCTAATCAATATTTCTCAATATGTATGCTGGTGATGCGTTGGTAGATAAATGATTAAGATTACATCTCTGTGTAGCATGCGAGGGTGCCCAGGGTCCCCGAGTACAAATTACAATAGCAGCACGTCACACCCAATGCGCTGGCAATATGACAGTGCATAAGGTGTGACGTGCAACTGTTGCAATTAGTAATGCCAGTGCATAGGACCACCCCGGCCAGGATTCGATCCTGCGACCTTCGGATCAGCAGCCGAGCAACGAACCGCTAGACCACCGTGGCAGGTTACTAACCGCCACGGTGGTCTAGCGGTGTCTCAGCATTGCGGCTGAGACACGGAAGCAATCATCAATGGCAAGAAGAAAATTGAGCCTTGTTCTGTTCTATTTTTTGCGCGTGCTGCATACAATAGATGCGTTCTGTATCTTTTACTACATCACCTTTCGGTCCACAATTTCTCGAAGGCAACCCATTGAAACGTCACGTTCGTGTACGACCCAGGTGCCTTCTTAGATGCACGGACTGGGGCGAGCGCTATTTACACCACTGCACGGAATTCCTTTGTTTCGTGCAGCCTCCGATCGCGGGACAATAGGTCATTTCCGAGACCATAGCAAAACGACCAAGCAGACGCCATTGTTCCATTAGTTCCGTTACACAGCCGTCCGTTATATCACGGAAGAGACTATGCAGCAGCCGGCATGAGTATAAGACGGGAACCCATTTAGAGAGGTTGTTCACCGCGGATGCAGTAGAGACTTGCGCTGAATCACTACCTTGGCTGACACGTCATTGGATAACAGGTCTAAGTACACCGTTATGCTCAAGACACGCTGAGTATTAGTTTAAAGAGGTGATGACACACAAAATATCAGATTTCTTTTTGCGTCATATTGTTACGGAAAAGAAGAGACGCCGTATCGACGAGGTGGGGATTAGATATATTCAAAACCAGCGGTAATGGCGTGACCGGTTCACCAGCGACGTGAGCGGAGACTACCCTTCGTCTTCCTCGTCAGGCACACACGCGCGTCACTCCCTAGATACATGCATGTACATGCATGTATCTACAAGCAATATACATGCATGTAGCATAACCCCCGGCGGCACAAGCGCCGTCTCGGCGCATCTAAATGTCAACGTCACTGTGAGAGTTGTAGGGCTTCAAGCGCGCAACAATATGAAAGTCCTCAACAGGTAATAGAAAATGCACAGGTAAACGTGAGTACCCCAAGAAAAAAAATAATTAGAACACGTTGCTAAAAGCCAGTCTTGGTTTTTACTGCACCCCGACGTCACAACATGGTACGAGTTTCGGTCACGTTCTTGCGAAAAATATAGTGGCGTTTCCATGGCCGCTCAGCTCCTTGGCACAAGCGTCACCACGACTGGTAATATTAACTGTATCGCATCAACAAAGCTGGTGATTCATGTGCCACGCAACCCTCAGTTATGTTACTTCCCAATAAGGTAGCTTTTCTGGAAGCGCATCATTAATACAATCTGTCTGCTCACCTAAAAATAATTTTCTTTCTCCGCACGTGTTCTCGTAATAGCATATATATGTCTGTTTTCTTACACCAATTTTTGGCCACTTATAGCGTTCTTTAGCTTTCACTTGAATAAACCGTCTTTTATTAAAAAAATTAACTTCAAAAGAGTTGACTGTTGGGCAAGTTGGTGCTTTGACATAGAGACCATTGTGAGGGCGCAACTAAATCCACATGTGCCTGTCCTTCTCTCTTTCTCCCTGTGTGTTGTGTTTATTGGCGCCCTCACAATAGTTTCTATCACTTCTAGTATTGTTCATCACAATGAAAAAACAGCACACACTTTACGGAGACAAACAAAAGAAGGCAGCGCCTGTGCCCCGTGTTCCATTGCTACGTCTTTGTAAAGTATGAGCAGTTTTTGCATTGCCATTACCTTGTACCTTAATCCAAGTACCGATGTGTTTTTTGTTTGTTCACTTCACACTCCCATCGATATGCTGTCGCAGCGGTCGGCAGAGAATATGAGATCTCGAGCCCCCACGGCCACCATAGCAACGCCAAAACCTCTGGGCTACAAGGGAGGTCACCTGACCACAGCTGTGTTCAGCTTTGATCTGCAGTGCCCGGTTTTCCGAAACGGACTGTGCCTGCGGCCTTCAAGTCCTGCACCACGGTTTCCGGTTTGGTCGAGGGCGCTATTTTGGTCCCAGTGGTGACTCCGAGCGGGTCGCCTTCCGTTCCCCGGAAGACTTCCGGCAAGATGTCTTTGGTATTCGACTCGGCCGAGAAATACGGATAAACCGGACGACTCCACTCCCATGGCTATAGCCGTGATAGTTCACCTCCGATTTCCGGCGCATAAGTCTCGCGTAGCCCAAGTCACGCTAGTGAGTGCGTAAGTTGTTACAACGCCTACGGTTCACAAAGGAGCCCGGATCTTATCCGCCCTTGTTAGCGACCGAGAAGAACCGACAACTGAGTCGGGGAGCGTTATACAGAGACTTGAAAGGATGTCCCAAAAGAACCAAGAAATTCCATCATAGTATTGGCGGCAATGTGGGCTTGTTCGTATTGCATCCTACTTCTTTTTTATTTGAATGCGTTCGAGGTGAGGTTGGCGCCTGCGTCTATTCCTCTTAAGGAATAACTTGTCCCATAAATAACAATAAACTAATGCTTAATGAAAGTAACACAATTATGAAGTCAATAAAGGTATAGGTTACGTTAATTGCACTGTTTAATTGTATTTCAATAATTGTTATATAGATGCGAAGAACGTAAAGTGGACTAGAAGATAGGCTGATGGTGGCAGGGGCTGAAACTGTGACCTTTAGGTTGGAAGGTCGCAAGTTCAAAAGGCAAAGGCCGCAGGATGTCTAAGAGAAACAAGCCCTCACAATTTACATAATTTAATTCACTAAGGTAATGTGAAATAGGCGCACACTAATGCCTATCCATGAAAACAACGTTTACACGTTATAAAGAATGTTCACTCACAACAAACGTTCGCACTTTTCAGAACAGTTCAGCTCACAGTTCATTACAGAAGGTGATCACACACAACAGTCACTGAGCACATGCCCGCATTCTAAACACAGCTGTCATGAAACACAAGAAACAACGTGAAAATGTGACCAGAATTACTTTGGAATATTTATTAATGTAAATTGTAATTGTTTGTGTGAATCAGTATTCTTCTGGTATTATTGATTCTCCTAAAAAACTGTACTAGTCGACGTGCAGGAATGGTTTGAGAAGTTTCTGTAGACCATGATCCCAAAACGTTTGCTATAGCGGTAGTGTGTATATCTGACATAATTATTTTTTCTAAAAATTTCTCATGGGGAAGAGCATAACATTCACAATGTAGACGAATGTTTTGTTTATATTCTTTTTTCTGTTCATGTGTGCATGTAGCACAGTTCGCTTTTCTTATCCCGCAGAGGAAGTTCTTGGTGCAGGCGGTGCCCAGATGGAGTTTATGAACTACTGTTTCGAGATTGATAGTATCACAGTGCTGCCACCAGGAGGTATACCGGTAATTTTTTTCCAATGGTTTCATTTACCAAAGGCTAAATACAAAACTCTTTTATATTTATTGTCGCGCGAGGGCGCGCATTGACCATGTATACATAGTTTAATTTAACAATGCAATGATATTGAATGAGGAATCAATCAATCAATCAATCAATCAATCAATCAATCAATCAATCAATCAATTAATCAATCAATCAATCAATAATTAAAAAAAACACTCGACGTGTTCAGGAACAACCGTAAGGCATCCGTGCTGGTGCACGCGAAGTAACGAAAATAAAACAATAGGAATAAAACAATGCGCTAAAAACAGTCTTCAGGAGGAAATACAAAATATAATGCCCAAACATAGAAAAACCTGAAGTTAGGATCACAAAGCAAGTTTATTTCAACACAACAGGAGTAATATTGAATGACATCAATGAACAAGAACGCCTATAAACAAATATGCGCAATGCAGGCTTAAAGATCAAGGGAATAATTTATCAACATGCGATATTGCACCAAATCTTACAACAACAACAACACAACAACAACAACAACAACAACAACAACAACAACAACAACAACAACAACAACAATAATAACTACTACTACTACTACTACTACTACTACTACTAATAATAATAATAATAAATAAAATAATATTAATAATAATAATAAGAACAACAACAACAAATGAAGGCTACGCGATGCACAAGACGACAGAGCATTCGCAAACGAACTCACCTGTTGAACCAATCGTCGGTGTACCTTGGGTACGGGAAGGGGTCGTTGCTACTGAAGTCGTAACTGGCTTTGGCATTCTGCGAAACAACGGGGAAGGAGAGAGCACGTGTGTCAGGGAAACCACGTGACCCGAGGGGGCAACGGTTTCGAAGCGTCACTTTCCGAGTTCGCGCTTCGAGTAATATACAGCTGATACGCAGTGTGCGCACGTCGTTTCGTGTGTCGCTAATCAGCGTAGTCACTGCGCTGGTTCACGCCGGTTGGTTCTCGCCCTTGGCCGCTCACGTGGTCTGCCTATAGCCATAGATTACGCACTAGGCCCAGCATGCGAGCGTCGATCGATTCGAAGATTAGGGTTACGGAGGCAATGACTGATATTGACAGCTACTCATATTGGACAGAATGGTCTCATGAACCTCGGTCATGTGAGACGCCGGTGAAGATGTGCTCGCCTGGCATGAAGTAAAAGAACCAGGAGGAGCCATTGCGTAACAACAATGATGACCACAGAAATCGGTCCTACACGCGTTAGTTTCAGTTGATGCGCGTCACAGTTAACCTTACCTCCTCAATTAACCTTGCCTTCAATCATTCAAAATCCATGTTGTTATCTCATGAACATAGAGAAGAACACTAGTTGGCTCTTCCCAACTCTTTGCTTCTACCTTTGTCAAGACTGAGCAGACGGTCAGAACATCGGATTCGAACAGGTAAATCTGACTCTATGTTTGTATTAATCGTACTTATTGTAAATGTTTTCAACTGCGCTGACAGACACGGCCACAAGAGGAGGGAATAAGACTAGACATGCGCAGCATTCTCTCCCTCCCTTGGTTAAAGGGCTTTTTACGATCAATGTCAACCAAGCAGACAGCGTTGGTTTTCTACTTCGGTATCTGTCTATTCACATGGTAGACAGATGGTTAAACGCACAAGCCCATCAGCATTTATTGATGACCCCCCTCCCCCCCTCCGCTTCTTTCATTTCTCTTCCCATCCCCGTGTTTTGTTTCATTCTCAGTTTCGTACATCTGTTAAATAACGCCCGGTTTCATACACTAAAGAAGCTATGCAAGAAGTTCGGTGAGCAAAATGTATAAGACCGCGTGTCTGGGGCTTGGATTTTGTCGTGGTACACGTGGCCTCCGCCATTCGGCCTGGCTGTATGCTACTGCGCAGAAGCCACAATACAAAACCAAAAACAAACAAACACTAAAGACCGAGAACGACAACCACATACATAAGAGGGTTTGTTTATTTCTCTTCATTAAGTACTAAGTCTAAAAACACGAAAGATTGCATTACGGGTGGCATAATCATTGAACTGTTTTCTGGATACGGACGAATCTGCACGAAAAAAAAAAAAAAAGCCCTGAGTCACACATACTATTTTATTCATTCTGAAAGGTTACGGAAGGTAAAAAAGACCGGCAAAGTAGGTGAGCTGCTGAAGTTCCATGGCGAAAAATATAAAGTAGCCTTATTTCAAACACAAGACGACGGAAAGATGAGACACACACGGCACTGAGTTTCAAATTCAGCGCCGTGTGTCTACGTTCCCTTTTATTTTGTTTAAAATAGGCTCTGTTTTATATTTGTACCATGGTATGCAAGTGAGACTTCTTGCACTGCTATAAGTCTCACCAGCTTCTGTAGCCCTTCACCGTGAAAAGGAAGTGTAAGTTTCACAGCCAGGCTTGCCGCGCCGAGCAATTCCGACAGGTTTGGTGGTAATGGCTTGGCGCCCATGCTCTATAAGCACTCGACAATCGGCTCCCCTTTTGTAACGAGTCTTAAACCTCGCGGCGGTCGACACTGCGCAATCTGGTCTGGCCGCGCCGTTAAAGGCCGCCTATTGATCCCGCAAAGCGGGTGCCGTGTGCCCGCAATTACCGTAAGTGAAGGTTAGCCTTTCTGGCCAGACCGGCTGCCTCCCGCGAAGTGCAATCGCTGTTACTACGAGTACTACAAACAATCCGCACTACAAACTTCCCCAGCTCTCGTTCTTTTCGACTTGCTCAAAGCGGCGATTACCGGAAAATCCCAGATATAATAACTTCATTTTCGTGCTTTCTCGATTTGATTTGATTGATTTGTGGGGTTTAACGTCCCAAAACCACAATTTGATTATGAGAGACGCCGTAGTGGAGGGCTCCGGAAATTTTGACCACCTGGGGTTCTTTAACGTGCACTCAAATCTGAGCACACGGGCCTACAACATTTCCGCCTCCATCGGAAATGCAGCCGCCGAAGCCGGGAATCGAACCCGCGACCTGCGGGTCAGCAGCCGAGTACCTTAGCCACTAGACCACCGCGGCGGGGCTCGTGCTTTCTCGAGTCCACACGTTAAAGTTACAGTTTATATATTGGACTAGTTAGCAGAAGAGTCACAAGTCATCCTGCAGTTGTATGTCTGTGACATTGAGAGAAGAAAAACTCAGTTCAATCTTTTGTAAAATGTGTAAAATATTTGAGGCCATCACGCAGGGTAACAGAACACGAATAAAATAACGTATAAATGAATTACGAATTTCCCCATGATTTCCGCAGAGTAATTTCTCGTGAGTTAACACTCATGCAACTTGACCGTCACGTATTTTTAGGGTTTGAATAAGCGCCAGTGAGCAGATACAAAACCAAAAACAAAACACAAGAACAACAACACAGACGAATATTCAGGAAAAATGCGATGAACACAGAGCAAGTCACTGAAAAGAAAACTTCACATACCGACCAACAGTGCGCTAGATTTTCCGATGCAACACGGTGACGTCACCAAAGCGTGGGTATAAATCTGAGCATGTGCCGCAGTTCACATCGATTGTAATGAAGCTGCATGATTGGGAAGTGAACCGACGTCCTCGTGCGTAGGAGCTCGGCGCCGTATCCACTAAAGCCTTAACCATGAGTACACGCTACAAGCACAAATGGGGACTCGCTTGCTGGATTCCGTACTGAAAGGTTGTTTCGCCCGCGACCACAGACGCTACAGCGTAGCTCTCGCCGACCGGCCTGCCGTCCACAATCTCTTGACGCCAGCGTAGCTCTCGCCGATTGACCCGCCGTCCACAATGTCCTGACGCCGGGGAGCTCTCGCCGATTGGCCCAACGTCCACAATCTCTTGACGCCAGCGTAGCTCCCGCCGATCGGCCTGCCGTCCGCAATCTCTTGACGCCAGCGTAGCTCTCGCCGATTGACCCGCCGTCCACAATGTCCTGACGCCGGGGAGCTCTCGCCAATGGGCTCGCCGTCCACAATCTCCTGACGCCAGCGTAGCTCTCGCCGATTGACCCGCCGTCTACAATGTCCTGACGCCAGCGTAGCTCTCGCCAATCGGCCCGCCGTCCGCAGTTTCCTGACGCCAGCGTAGCTCTCGCCGATCGGCCCGCCATCCGCAATCTCCTGACGCCAGCGTAGCTCTCGCTGAGTGCTGCCTCGTCCTCGGATTCGTGCGACCGTGTCCCCCATCTTTCCTATCTCTTAATTCTCTTTTCTTTCTGTCGCTCCTGTGCAGCAAGTGCTCTCTCTTTTTTTTCTTTCTACTATTCTTATTATCCTCCTTCTCTTAAAACCTTCAAGGCACTGTGCCGTTTCACCTACAAGGCAGACAGAAATTGGGTGCCTTTTTCCCTCCTTCAAAAACCCCGCATCATAGTACTGGTGCATTGGGATGCGTACGTGTGCTTATGGCTCAACCTACCGTGGCTGAACGACGAGAGTTCTGATGATTGCAAAATGGCTGACTAGTAAGAAGACCATGATTGATGCGGTAATAACCGCTTCTGACAATTTCCGCCGTGGAAGCGTGGTGATAATAACACTGATTGAGGACAACGCTCAAAAAAAACGAAAAGAAAGAAAGAATACTATAATGGTTAAGGTTCAAGGTGCGAAAGGAATAATTTAATTATTAGAGATACAAAAACAAAGAGAGAAAGGGAGAAAGAACCAATGATCACTCTTTCCTGCACCAGGTGTTTCATATTGCACTGATGAAGATAAATTATGGATACTAGATTGTCGTCGTTCGCTTGATACCCTAGCCCACTCCTTCACTCAGCGCTCATCAATCTTTATCAGGATAAATACAGCGAAAATTATTCTATTCTTGCAGTAAATGCCGTGAATGCTCTCTGAGATTTGCTGCTTGGAGACTTGGTTGACGTCGGAGGAAGACAGGTTAGCGGATATAAAGGCTCCAGAAAGAGAGTAGCAAGCGTAGAGGTTGGTGACTAACATTCTCTGCTTTTCACAGTTTCCTTGATTGAAAAGTTGCGGGATGCTATTATGGGCATAGTCAAATTGCGCCACTGGTGAACTCTGATGGGCGCAGAGGGCTTCTGCGACCTATCTGGTAGGCTTAAAATGCCGCAATTACGAAACATCACTATTTAGCGAAATTTGTTTAGAGTGGCACCCATGATCCCTCACAAAACCACGGTGAACGTGTCTCGTGTCCTTTTAACCCTGTATTGGTCCGTACGCACAACTTCATCATCACGTTACTTGACAAGAACTTTAGTCAAACTCTTGACTACCTACTTTTTTCTTTCTCGAATATTGTTTGTCTCTAGCAGGACGAGATCATTGACTGTGCAAAAGACAGAAATACACTTGAAATGATCGAAGCCTTGCACAATATTCGATGCGGGCTTAATATGTGCGTCAATGAGACAAGGGCGTAGACAGAAAGTTTCTTTTTTTTTCGAAGAGCTTTGGGGGGTATGGGCTCAGTGTACCACTTCACATGGCTACGCCAATGCAGTGAGGCCTTTTTTACACATCTTCAAGGAAGAAGTTGATATTATTCATTGTTAATTTCATCCACGTTGTGCAGTTATGCTTGATAGTTTTGTTGTTGTTGTGGGAAAGAGTCCATCTCCCCTTAATCTTCTCCTTCATCTTCCCCTCCGGGCCGGAGGGGAAGATGAAAGAGAAGAAGAGAAGCACTCACGTAACGTCCCAAAACCACCATATGATTGCGAGAGACGCCGTAGTGGAGGGCTCCGGAAATTTTGATTACCTGGTGTTCTTTAACGTGCACCCAAGTACGAGCACACGGGCCTACATCATCTTCGCCCCCATCGAAAATGCAGCCGCCGCAGTCGGGATTCGATCCCGCGACCTGCGTGTCAGCAGCCGAGTACCTTAGCCACTAGATCACCACGGTGGGGCATGTTGTGTCCGAGCTTTTACGGTACCTCCCCAGTCGTTCAGTACGCGCTTCGCGCTCGCTTGCCGAGCTGTTCTTCCGGCTTTTTGCTGCGTCGGGCCGGCGGATTTGTGCGGCATCGTTAATCAGGGCGGCGCGAGGCAGTAGCTGGGTGCCCGCGTGTAAAGCGGTACCGGTGTGGCGTTCTTCCGGACGCGTTTCCCTCTCCGAACCCACGCTTGCCTTTTACCTTGGCCGAGCTCGTTGCGTCTAATTACGCGGAGCACATTTGAGTGCCAGGCGGGCACTGTCGGAGCAATGCGCTCTTATTTGTGCGTTAAACTTCTCTCTGCATTGCACGCTGCGTGAAACGTAGACAATTAGTATACACCGCGCAAGCACGCAATGCCCCTTTGGCGCTACCACACGATGCAAAACGCGTCGATTGGCGGAGGAGGAGACCATACAGTTTCACACTTGTACATCATAAGGAAATGTGGCGCTGGTGTCGATGGCTACGCATGGCGCTTTAACCACGATGGTAGTCATGGATATGACATGAATTAGTCTAACCTTAATTCGCTTCGATCCGCGTGGTCGGTGGGCGCTGTGCCATAAAACAGAGTTTAGCAAAAGTGCAGCCTCACCACCTTGACCCCTTTTAAATTGACCAATTGAAATTCACTAGGTTCCCAGTAAGTCATCCTTTTACACAGAGCAAAAGCGAAAAAAAAAAACACGAATATTCGACAGTCATTATCTCTTCAATAAATAATGTAATAATAAACAACGCATTTGCGACAACAACGCAATAAATAATGTACATACACAACGCATTTGCGACAACAACATGTGATTCTAGACAGGGCTTATCATCAAACACTTTTCGGCCTACGTGAAATATCCCCAGCGTTCGCTTTAAAACAAGCTGTTGTAGTTTGTTGAGAATCTGCTTTTACGCGTTGTAAAAATAAACGCTTCAAACCACTAGCAAAAAGGAAAGCCTTTTTTATGTTTGCTACACATTAGCAAATCCAAGCTCACGAATTACTCAGTAGCATCATATTTGCGTTCTGCATGTACGATAACGACATATGATTTTAGCCAAGACTTCCTCTTATCATGTACGGCCAGCATACCTTAAAATTCTCCCAGCACTTGCTGTAAAACAAGCTGTTTGAATTTTTCGAGAAGGTGCTATTTAGTTTGTTAGAATCAATCATCCGCGACCATTAGCAATGATAAAATACTTTTTTTTGTTCGCGACACACCATGGCTTTCAGTTCATTAGTTAGTAACACCATATCTGTGTGATAACACAGGATTCGAGCCAATGCTCCCACTTTCCGAGTACGGCCGACTGGCTTCAAGTGCAACCAGTGCACGCAGTAACAGAAAAAAAAGAACAGTGCTGATAAACAAAGAGATAGAAAGCAAAAAAAAATCTAGGACAAGCTACTCGCGTCCACCAATCACGTGAGCCGCCGACGACGCACAAAGAGCGCATCGGTTCGTCGAGCCCTTACTTCTGTGATCCGGGGAAAAAAAATGCGCATCTAACGTCGGAGCTCTTTCATTTATCTTTGCTTCCCGTGCAACGAGGCTTGCGCCTTTGACGACGCCACGTTAACGCTTGTCTCCATTAATTAACGCGACAGCAGCGATTTCCCCGAGGGTTTACTGGTGATAACGAGCTATAGGGGCGGACCGGGACGGAGGGGAAGATAAAGGAGAAGAAGAGAAGCACTCACGTAATTGTCCCGAAGGTCCGGGTGCATATAGTCAACCCCTGGTGGAGAAAAAGAAACAGGGCGCGTCGGGTTAGTGAGGCCAGCGGGTAGGGAAGAAAACGAGGAGGGAAACAGCAAGTGGGCGGATACGATCAAGAGGTTAGGGAACAATAGGGAAGATGAATGCAGGAGTGAACTGTTTATAGGCATCCACTTGTTGACAATGAAGAAGGCAGTGGGAAATTTACGATAAAAATAAAGAGACAGGGTGCGTAGAATTAGTGAGGCCAGTTGGTAGGAAATAAGAAGGGAGAGAATGGCAAATGGGTGAGGACAAACAAGGGGTTTGATTGATTGATTGATTGATTTGTGGGGTTTAACGTCCCAAAACCACCATATGATTATGAGAGACGCCGTAGTGGAGGGCTCCGGAAATTTCGACCACCTGGGGTTCTTCAACGTGCACCCAAATCTGAGTACACGGGCCTACAAGAGGTTAGGGAACCATAGGGAAAATGAACGAAATGGTGAACTGTGTATAGATATGCACGCGTAGACAATGAAAAGGGCGGGGTATATGTACGGTAAGGATAAAGAGAAAGGGCGTATCGGGTTAGTGAGGCCAGTTTGTAGGGAAGAAAAAGGGGAGAGAACGGCAAGTGTGCAGAGAAGAACAAAAGAATAGGGAATAATATGGAATATGAACGTGCATAGGCATGTTCGTGTAGACAGTGAAGAGGGCAGGGGTAAGTGTATGGTAGAGTAGGCAAGAAAAATGAGCCGAAAGAGAGCATAGGGATGCCTGTGAGGAAATGGGAAACTATAGAATATGAAGAAGCAAGAAATGATGGCTTGATGAAATAATGAGATCATGACAATCATGAATCAACGAAAAGCAACGAACAGGAGAGTGAGGAGAGCCACTGATACTTATCGCTACTTTCTTCTTACCTTCATAAGTTAATGGAGAAGAGGGCGGGGGGAGAAGTGGGAAACAACAGAACACGGGAAAGAGAGGAAAGATGGTGTGATAAAATGAAGGGAACCTGTAGTTTTTAAATGGCACAGAGGCAACTACAGATGGGAGGAGAAAGATGGGAGGAAGGTTGGAGAATAACCAGGATGAGCAAGGAGGAATGCCGGAGCGAGGGGTGAATAGAGACGTACACGTAGACAGAAAATCAGGAGAACAGGACTAAAGGTATACTGTAGAGTAAAAAAAACGAGTGCGAAAGAACAGGGAATATATAGAAAGGCAGGGATCTCCATCCCTATTTTCTCCTCGCCTTCGTAAGTAAAGAAAAGAAGAGGAGAGAACGGGGATAGTTGCGAAGAAGTAGGGAGCAACATAAAATATGGAAGCAAGAAAGGATAGCACGCTGAGAGATAGAGAAACATGATAATTAGCGATTGATGCAGAGACGGCGTAGAGATGGGACGAGGAAATTGATAGTCAAGAGGCGGAGACGAACATAAGGTCATGAGTACAGAGGGAGAGAGGACATTGGGGATTGCAGGATAAAAACAGTAGGGGGCGTATAAGGTTCCATTAGGGAAGCACGTGTATTGTGGGCAGGAAAGATAGGTATAGGCGCGTAGGGCAAATAGAAGTATAATGGGGAGACGTGAGATGGGAGACCAGAGAGCGGAGAAATTGAAAGCAGGTGGCACATGATTGAGACCGAGAGGGTCGTCCAAATCGATACAGGAAAATTGAGGTATAAGGCAGGTGAGCAAAGTGTAGAAAGGGAGGTAAGCGGGGAAAGTAAAGGGGAAGGAAAAGAAGATGGAGCCATTGTATGAGCTGCCCAAAGAAACGTGTCTTTTATAGAGTTAGTGTATGTTGCCATCCTTCCTCGTACTCCTTAAGCTCCATTGTTTTTTTTTCGGCTCGTAAAAGTGGACCTCTTCTCCAGTCGCGCGGCTGGAAACAATGTCCCAGCTCTCGCAAACGAGCTTAAGCAAGACAACGCCATCGTAGTCTTAAAGGCGATGCCCTCCGGTGAAAGTGTATTACGCACAACAGCAAAAGCCTGCTTTTATTTCGGGTCTTCAGTTACATAAGCCATGGTGATCGTAACTCGAAAAGACGAGACGTGCTTATCTAATTGGTCGAAACTCTCTTCGGCGTTATTCATAGCCCTAGGTAAATACGCTTACGAGATCAGGAAGGCCGCGGGAAAAGAATTCGCTGCTCCTTTTCTCCAATTTTCGACTGTACAATGGAACGAACAGGGCCAGACTACAAAAAAAAAAAAAACGAGATATATGAACGATATTAATTCGTCGCTCCTCTTTTTCAATTCTCCGCCTGCTCCTTTTTCCAAGTTATATTTAGTCACAATTCTGGAGAACATCGGTGATAAAGTGTACGTGCTGGTTGCAATAGGAGGTCCAGCGACTACAGACAATGTAGTCTACTTTCTCGGTGATAATAAACCTGCTTAGCGTCGCGTACAAACTAAGTCGGAGTGCCACGACAAAAAGTCTACGTAATCGCATTTACAACGCAGTGAGTTATTAGTGAAGCCCGTAATACGGTGTTAGTCCGCGACACTGTCGATGGCTTGAGAAGCGTGTCGCAACGCATTCCTTATGAAACTAGACGAGAGCCTGGCGAATAAAAAAGCTGAAGTGAATCGCGCACGTGATTTCGCAAGCAGTGGTAATGCCCTGCCTAGAGTCTATACATAAGGACTCGTGGGCTGACCAATCGGAGAAGGGCGTAGTTACGGTGGAGCATCTTGCAAAGGTGACACGTGATTTGAAATCATATTGCTGGTATTGTATCAACCGCATTATTTCGAATCTCAGATAACTCATTGAATCTATTTTACCGGATGAAACCACTGGTAAAGAACTTGTAGTTTTTTTGTACCTAAAGTGTGAGATCACAAAACCTGTTAAGAAACTATCAGAATCACTGTAGTGGCGACGTGTACGGGATGTCATACAAATGTGTCCATTAATATTTGTGCAGACAGATTGCACGTGACGTGACATAAGCAAGCCTCTACCGCACAAGTGTCCAAACATCGTGTCGAAATTGACCTTGCTGCACACTATCATGACGAGTAGGCTCATATGTCCTTGCTCGTGGCACTTTTCGGAGGTTTACCTCGTTATTAATTTGTTTTTCACCCCGAGGCATGTCCGTCATGTCTGGTTTTTTCCACGTAGCTTACATGCGCGCTAGGTATGGTGGCTGTATAAACTGTCCGTACGTTCTAAACTACCTTCGACATTTCTGTATAACAATTTCTCCCCATTTCTTCCTGAATATTCACTGTGATGTTTATGCGCCTGGAATCTCACCATTTTACACCACAGGAGGCGCCAGATTTTTTCATAGAAGGGGAGGGGGGTACTTAAAATGAGTTACTTTCGGAGAGGGTGAAAACCGCCGCATGTTCGCAGGACTAGTGTTCGTGCGTGTGTGTGTTTGTGGATGTGTGTTTGTGTGCGTGTGCACGTAATGTCAACTCACCATCGTCCATAATGGCTGTAGTAACATTCTTGCCCGTGAATCCCTGAGCCCAGGCGGCCTCAACGTTCAGATCCAGCCGTGGCTTGCCGCCGTTCTGGCCCACGTTTTTCTGCAGAAAAAATAAGCAAATAAAAAGAACAAGTCAAAACATATGCAATGAAAGACACGCTGTAGCAAGTAACATTACAGTGGCACGCCGGGTTAAAAAATATTGCGTTGTAACTGTAATGTCATTGTGCGTGTTCCTGTGCCACTGTGTCTACTTTTGCGGCGAGCAACTTTAAGTATGGAATACAAACTAGCCCGATCTCGCGCATTACTTCGGCATAGGCAACATATTCATAAGAATGTAAAAAAGACAAACTAAGTCAACATTATCAGTGACGTAGTTACCCCAAGTTAAATAAAATATAAAAAGTTGAAAGAGTGAAAATAAATAATTGAAAAGTTCGAACTTTGAGAAACGACAGATCACAATGACTGCCTTATGCATATAAAACAAGGTCTTCGGACCGTACGGCAATGCATGATAAAAAAATAGCACTAAACTTCGACTGCGCATACACCCGTAAGCATGTTTTTTTTTGGTCTTCTTTCCTCCTCATTTCTATTATTTGTGCTTTGACTTATATTCCCTTCATTATTAACTCTCTCTCTCTCTATTTCTTGCTTGCTTCCTCTTTCTCGGATTTTTATTAGTGGTTATGGCTGCTTTACACCAAGTGACAATAACCTACTACGGCCCGGGCCCAAGTGCTCCGCAGGTACCATAATCAGAGAACCAGAAGAGCAAGAGGAAGAAGACGACTTCACTTAGGCGCGAGCATGTGCTCAATATTTTCCCGATGATTGTGCTACGTGTAGTTTTGCGTGCGCCACGCCGACAGCATACTACCGGCCGGCCCCCTAAAACGATTCATACTTCGGAAGGCGCAGGGCAAGTGCCTTGGTGTGTCACTCCCTGGACACGCCCCTAATTGGACAGGTAGGCCGCTACATTCTTGCGCCATACAGTGAACCAGTATAACCACATCCTAATTATGTACCACTATAAGCCAACGAGAAGAAGCCGTGCGGCAGAGTTCTGAACTGTCAATCACTCCTGCAGGTCGACTATAGAAAAAAAAAAAATGAAGGGAAAATAAATGAAGCTGCTCGAAAAAAAAATGAAAAGCACGAACGTCAGACGCTGCGATCGAAGCAGTCTGACGCTGCCTGGTAACAACTGTCCCCCATCGGCTAATTCGGACCGGATCGCCTCTCAATGGGGAGAAAAAAGACGTGGTTAGGTCGCAAACTGGCTTCGTCATATCCGCATAGTTATGAACGACCGGGACTGACGTCGCACGTGGACAGAAAACAAAAAGGAAAACGAAATAAGAACAAAGGAAGCACTACACATAGCCCGAACTCGCTGGGCCGGCGAGAAGCAATCATATGACAATGGCAATCATAAGGGACGGCAGAGGGAGGAGCGAAAAACGTGTTTGCCGCAGTTCCGTGCAAAGAAGGCAAAGAGATAAAAAATATAAGGAAACAGAACGTATGTCAGTAGGTTTGGAGACAGAGTAATGGTGAGGGATGTCGAAGACGTCTGTTCAGTACGGTGCAGTGTGGTGTGGCTTAGAGCTGCACCCTGCGCCACAGCTTCACTCTACTGGCGGTTTTCATGCGTTCGTGGCAAGGCGCTATACAGGACGCATATGGTATAGGAGGCAGTATTAGGGCTTACTATTTGCTTAAGTCATCGAAGAAAACTACTGACGTGTGCATATTTTATAATAATAATAATAATAATAATAATAATAATAATAATAATAATAATAATAATATAATAATAATAATAATAATAATAATAATAATAATAATAATAATAATAATAATAATAATAATAATAATATAATAATAATAATAATAATAATAATAATAATAATAATAATAATAATAATAATAATAATGTATGTGTTTTAACGCACCGAAACCATGATACGATTATGGGGAACACCGACATGGCGGGCTGCGCGAATTTTGGGCGTACGATATTCTTTAACGTGCGCTGACTTTGAGCTGTAAACGGACCTCTGGCATCTCTCCTCCATCGAAGTGAAACAACCGCAGCATGAAGAAAAAGGTATGCATATTTGATGAGATATTTCACTCCACATAATGTTTCCCTCTCCTGACAGTGTAGTCCAACCATAAAACCATACGAGCATTAGCAAACTCATAGCACTCTCAGTGAAAATATAAAAATTATCATATGCAGCCGGATACTTCATGAAATATAGGTCCACCTTGCGTTTTCTTCAATAAACTTCAATTACACGTCAGCCTTGTGTTAAGTCTCGCCTCCATCTCGTCTCGCCTTCTTGAAGTATTATGGAGGGATACATACTCGCCCATGTTGATGTTTTTATCGCGAATAGTTTTCAAACACAATTCACCAGTGCACACGTATACATGAGAGTTCGCGCAGCTAAGTCGCGACCTTGTAGATGTACGCCTGTGTTCCGAATAAATAGAATTTGCAAGCGAACGATTCGTGACAGGCACCGGCCCATATTACTAGGGGAAATGATTGACAAGTGACCACCGAGGAAGCAAATAGTGTTGAGCATCGCCTAAAGTAGGCAACCTAGGTGAGCCACATCTTCGTAGAGAAGAGCGCCTGAAAATGTTTACCCGACACGTACGTAAGATTGTACGATTGTCAATGTATGCAGCTGGGCCTGCGGCCGTAATGAAGCTAGAGCACACGGAATTGACACGGGGAAAATATGACACAAGTTAACTCTTTCGTCTTTTTACTTCGGACAATTCTATAGATGTGCCAGTAACAATTTCATAATACACGTTGGGTTTTAGCGTCCCCAAACCACCCTACTATAACGAGGCACGCTGTGGTGAAAAGCTCCTGAAATTCTGGCCCCCTGGTGTTATTTAACAAGTATTTTTACCTCAAGCATTTTCACGTCCTTCAAAAATGAGGCCGCCACGGCCGGGATTCAATCCCGGGACCTTTTGAGTTCGCATCGAAAACCACAATCACTAGACCACCTCGATGTGTCATTTTCATCAGACGAACTTTCATGATGTACCTGTACGGTTTTAGGACTCGGCTTAATAAGTTTGTTCTTTGGCAATTTTTGATCAGTTCGTACTACTTTCCTGGTGCTTTGACACGGTGTCTGCTCACATTTTCTCTCAATGTGCTCTTGTTGCTTCTACTGTGTTGTACAATAACAACTACTATTCTATTTGTTGAGAGCTGTTGTCACACGTTGTGTTTTCAGAAAGAAAAAGAGCAGCATGGGTATAGCTTGTAAAACATACCCAAGCCTATCGTCACGTGATACCGTGTTATCATAAGTGGCACTGCGACTTATTACATGCCACATCTGCACGCTTATCTTTTGCCGTTTAGCTTTGTGGTAAACGGCTAAATGGCGTTGGGAAACAGCGTTGGTTGACTGACAGAGCCGACCACAGAGCTACTACCTTCCCAGCACGGCACGCTTTTACCGAAGCAGTATATTACACGCGAGCGGTAAACGGCGCCGATGAAAGGGGCGCCCGCAGGGAGCAACGTCGCAAAAGTGGCTCTGCTGGAAGTCAGGAGACCACGGGTGTTATTAGGGAGCAGCGGGAGACTGCAGTCGCGGACAGTGTGTGGGATGCGGTGAAAAGGAAAAAAAAAAGAAAGAAAGGTAGGCGTTGTAGGTGGCTGGCTAAATGGTGGGCGGAGAAGTCGTTGCATCGCTGGGCAAGCACAGAGATATGAAGAAAATGACAGAAAGAAGAGTGAGGGAAAAATATAAGGTCCAAGTGAGTCCATTTGCTGGCGCAGCGGCAACGTGGTTTCCATAAGCGGCTTAACGTCTGCAGTCGAACGTCGTTCTGGTAAAGCCCCCGAGTATGGAGTATTATTATCGTTGCTTACGTGGCAGCCATTTCTCCAGCTCTGGTGGCAGCAGGTGCAGTCCTTGCTCTTCTACGCGTTTTGCGAACGATGCACTTCGGCAGCGGGAATGGTTTAAGGAGATGATATAGGTAAGATTGATATAAGTAAGATGCCGGCAATGAACAAAGCGATTTGATTGCCTAACGCCAGAGCCGTAGCACGGCCTTCGTCAAAGACCTATGTAGTCGGGGGTCTGCCAAGAGGACCGGAGCCAGCCAAAGTCTCGGAAAAGGGTTGAGGAGATTAGTCCGGCCTTATTACAAGAACATTTATTTACATTATTTACATTTTTAGGCTAGCGTGTTACTACATGATGGTGGTGGAATAATGAAAGCTCCGAATGAAAATTGATCGTATTTTCTGGGAGCTTGTCGGGAGCGTCTCGGCGTTCACGTTTTATGCCCTAGTCTTCCCAGGATTCTCGGCAGGGAAAAAACAATGGAGGCCAGGACCATTCAATCATAACGCCATTTTCACCTCCACTCCCCAAAAGGGAAAGTGAAACACCGCCTCCTTCCCAACCCACAAAACAGGGAAAAGGCAAGCCCAGTTCGTCCCATGGCTAGGGAAGAAACACTACACGACACAACAGAGCGCAAATACGTTGGGTCTTACATGCAAATCAACTGTGTGGTCCGTTGCAGTGATGAGTGTGTGGTACCGGGCGGGCCAAGGTTTGTGGAAAACGGCGGCATGAAAGCACCGCAAAGATCGTCGGAAATGCAGCCAAACACGGATCCCAGACGCTTGGCTTACTGTCCGATGCAACGCAGAGATGACCACCCTTTCTGAGCCGTTTTGACTGCGAACAGACCTTCTTAGGCCATCGGTTGGTCGGGCATGATCAAAAAGGACACTGCTAAAGCATGGGCGCCCGAGTGCTGAATGCCTCCCCATAAATCTGGGCACTGTGGGTTGACATCTAGACTCATCCGGCTCATGAAACCTTTCGAGGAATACCACATCCTCTGAAGCATATTAAGGATGATTACTCTCCCTCTGCATAGTTTTGGGGGTGGAGGCAGGAAACAACGACGTTCCTCTCTATGGTGGGAGTCGATCTCTTGACAGGTTAATAACAGATCTCTGTGCCGTACCTCCTCTGAATCAGATGAAGCTTTACCACCGTCACGGTTCGCGAGTTCTCG